GCTAATATTGTCCTCACTCCTCAGTGTACCAAACGATAATCAAATCCATTATTGTCAATTCCACCTTCGGTCGGTCGCTCTAGAGCGCAAGAGCACAGACTCCATCTGGGCCTCCATCGATGCAGCACGAGAGGTTCTTGGCAGGCAACGGGCCTGCAGGCCATTGCGTCAACGTCCTTTCAAAAAACCACCTTCTTTTCAGTACTCCGTAGGTAACTAGATAACAACCTCACCGTTGTTCGACCTACCAGTGGAACATATTTTAGTACTTCACTAAGCCTCCGGGCCTTCCCAGCATCAGCGCATGGTCCGCGGTAAAAAGGGTCAAGGCGTGCTTTTTTTTTTTTTTTTTTATTTTCATTGTCATTATTTATTTTTATTTCATCTGTACATACTGCCACCATCCACTGTTCTCCCCCCTCTCTTCCCCACCCAATCTTCTTCATGTCTCTCTGTCAGTCAATCACCTAAACATGTCTTCAGGACCAGCTGGGCCCATTTCTTTTCTTGAAGAAGCGTTCGACATGTGATGCTGCTGCTGCTGTACCTATCTTCGGGAGGCCCGGATACAAACGGGACTGGTGGTTCCCCTCTTCTTTTTCTCAAACATAGTTTCATATCGAAACATAAGGTATTCGCGGGTTCTAGGAAGGAAAAGAAAAAAAATCCGATCTATTTTGTTGTATGCCCGGGCCAACGCCGTCTGTACTCCGTACGTCACCCCGATTGCGCAGGGAACAAAGATGCTGGCTATGTCCACTTTTGCTCGGAATGCAATGGTATTTGGGGGGAGAAAACAAAAATAAAACGCAAATGCTGAAGAGAATAGAAAACACAGGAGAATAGAAAGAAAAAGAGACACAAAAGAACAAATGAAAAATAAAGAATTAAATGAAAATAAGACAGCCAAGAATAGAAAAAGAAAAGATAAAGAATCAAGAGGGGCAGCTTGTGCTCGGAAGAAAAAAAGAAAGGAAACACAGCCGTCCAATATCCAACATCCGAAGTATAACATGAAGATAAACACAAAGAAAAAAAAGAGGAAAAAAAATAGAAACCAGCAGAATAAATATGGAACCGAAGCAAAAACCGCAAGTCGACTTTCGTTGGGAATTATCGTGCAGGCAATCGTTCCGAGTTCGTTAATAAGGCCGTCAAGGTGATGATATCACCATACACCTGTTGGATTGGGATGGAGATTGGGTGACAGTAATAATAGCAGTTGTCGGCCCATGCCGCGGGAAAAGATCTTCTCCACTGAAGAAAAGAGTCCGAAGTAGGTACTCTAGCGACATAGACGACATTTTCCAACGACAACGATAAATCGGTCGTGCGGGCTCTCGCCGCATCGCCCGTCTTTAGATCCGTCTATAGAGGTGCGGATAAAATGTGTGCTGGGCTCGCGACATGTGCTGTAAATGTAGTAATTTTTGAAATAGTTGCACATTGTCACTATAATCGAGGCCTGCAAACGCTTTGGGAGGGATTGAATATTTCCAGCGAGAGATTAAAGTAGAATAAAATAAGGAGCATCAAAGACGTTTGAAAGAACCAAGGGAGCGCAACGGCGGGAATAAAATTAGGTTCAGACCAAATGAAGATTCCAAAACGGCCGAAGGCTAACGTTTGTTTGGAGAGACCACAAGTATGGAGAGGAGGTCAGGGGAATAAATGCGCAGGATGAGAGCCAATACACGAGCCAGATGAGGTCGAGGGGAAGATTGATTGATATATGTATGTATGTGCTCATGGCGGGCAGACACTGAAGGGTGTTTGCCAGTTGGGGAGCACCAGGGTTTGGGGCCCATCACAAGCCGGTTGCAGCAACAGCAAGGTTAGACAGGGGAGGTAGGAGGTGGGAAATTTCAGACGATTCAGTTGATTTTTTTTTTCGCTTTAATCAAAAATAATTCATAATTTTTTTTATTTAATAAATTAATTTTTTGATTTTTCGCTCCGAGTTGTTAGAAGGAAAAAAAAAAAGGCCAAAGAAAAACCCAAATAAAAATCACGGCAACGGTCCACGAACCCTTTCTTCATCTCTGTCAATGACCCCTGTAGATATTGCGGGTCCGGCGTCATCGAGCGTCACTGAACCAAAACGGTCGAGACAAGGGGAGCGGGAAAAATGAAAATACACAAAACTAAATAAAAAGAAAAATTAAATGCCGCGGGTGCTAAAGTTGAAGGAACATCGGTGGGAAGGGAGGAGTGTCCCACCATTGTCAGTTCAGGACTGATCGGGTCAATGGGAGATCGACGCGGTCCCTCGCAGCCGTTGATGCTTTTCGACCTACACGTGGCGCTAACTGGGATCTTCATGCAGGAGGCAAATGAGTGATGCCATGGACGTTTAATACCGGGGTCAGAAGGTTAGGTATAGCTGATATACCACCCGAAGTAGTCGACCGATCGAGGTGAACGAGAATGGCAGGCTAGGCTAGGAGTAAGGTAGCCAGTGCCGATGTAACCGGCATGGTTGGCCTTGGTGCACAAGGTTGGGGAAAAGGATGCCGACGTTGTCCGATCCGTTGGCTAGTATCACCAATCTTGATCGTTCCTGGCAAAGGCCCGTAGATAAAAATGCGATTCAGCGGCCGCCATTTGGTCAGGGCATTGGCGGAATTTGTCCGGAGCCCTTTGTCTTTAGCTTCGTTGGTTGGGAGAGCGAATGTCCGCTTTGACGGACTCGGACCGCCTTGCGCGCCAACATGTAACGTCACCTTGATTTTATCTTATTTTGTTTTATTGTTTTTCTGTTCGGAATTTATTCAATCGTCTCGGGACCGAGATAGTGGAGTGAGTTTTCTGAAGAGCTAATGTAAGGTCCTGAACTGCTACTGCGGGTGATTGGTTCTGGCCCTGGATGTATGGAACCCTGTGACAACTAACAAGCGATGGAAAAGATGGAATGACATGAAAAATTCCTCAGAATCGAAAATCCTCATTGGTTGTTTCTGGCACAAACCCTGGTAGGTCCAGGCTGACCGTATATTAATAGTATTGCCTTATATTGCAGCCTTCTGCGGACGAGGTATGGCCCCAACACTTAGGGATTCGGGTAATAAGTGGCCTCAGAGCACCACTATCTACTGCTAGTGAGTGGTCGGTACGGAGTACGGCACACAGTAGGTAGTAGTCAACCATAGTGCGCGCAGTAAGTGCTGATTCCAAATAGTTACTCCTTGTCATTTTCTTTGTCTTTCTGACTCGGTGGTCCGTAGAATAAGCTCGACGATTTCAGTTTTTCTTCCCCAGAAACACACTAGTGGCCTTTGGAACTACTCCGTAAAGTCTCCGTGGGTTCTTGAATCTTGATATCGCATACGTAAGACGCTAAACAGACCAAGGGGAGTCACGGCGCCAAGGAATGTGATGGAGTCCTACTAAACTCAATTAAAATGGTACTCCGGAGTGGAATAGTACTTGTCTGGTATGCCTGGCCGCGGAGTACATTCGGTTGTAGAGCGCACCAAATACCATGCCATAGTGCGACGTGTCCACTTGAATGGTGCCATATCAAGGATCGTTTCGGCGCATTACCGTTTCGTCCTGAACTTAGAATCGCAGTCACTGGAAAATTCGGAAACTTTATCTTCATTGCAGAAGGATTAGTGATCGTACGAATCGGCTCCGGGCTCGTCGAGCAATCCCCGTTCGTCGGCCATGCTAGGGCGCACAATAACCTTAGGTGTCTTCAACGGCCCTGACGAGTTGTAATATTTATGACCCTAGGGTGCGTACCCTGTACACAGAAGATAAGGAAAGTAGGATGAACCCCGAGAAAATATGGTTAGCGAAAATACCTGCAGTGTTATCAGACAACCTCGGATGTATGGTTTACCCAACAACGAGAATAAATTTTCTTCCCCTTTCCTGTCCCTTTTCTCTTTTTTTTTTTTTATCGTGAAAAGCGCTCATCTTCAGGAGACGGACGATCCCCTCTCGAAACCCCTCTAACCCTGGTCAATAATGAACAACCAGGAGCCATAGCACCAAAATGACCGGGTTGGCCTGCTAGCTTGATCCTGGCGAGCCAGCGTTGTCAGGCTCGGTTTTGCCCGAGTTGGTCGGAGCACGGGATTTTTTGACTTTTAGGCCTGCCGTCAATCATGTGGGCGCCGGACTCAATCGGAAGAGGTGGGCCCTGAAGACAAGTATTCGTACGGCATCCAGAGTAGCGCAGCGTTCCTCGCTAGTACGAACAATGCCGTCTTGCGATGACAGCCCGGAATGCGGGCTGCGGAATAAGGCGTGAGGAACGGAGTATGCACACACTACGACCACAGAGTAAGCATCCTGGTTGTGTCCGGATTTTTAGCTGGCGTGCTGCCATACTTGCATGACAATGCTTGTCTGTACGAAGCCTTCTTCACCCCATGGGCTTAGGGACCATGAGGAAAGGCGTATATCCATGAAACCGTGCATGGATTTCGCGAGATATTATTAAATATTAATAGTATACAGATAGACATTATTATTAAAGCGAATGCATTCCTGCTGATCTCATAGGCACAACGTCACCCGCTTAACCCTGCGAGGCCTAGTGTCCGGCATATAAATATTCTTCCCAACTGGGTTTAGCCGCATGCCGTTTCTGGGGAGATGCGCTAGTCCCAGAATAGCATCAGGAACAGGCCTTTCCCGATACGGACCTAGCGTTCCCCGTGATCTCTAGTCTAGAAGCCTCAGGCTCAGGGAACGTGCAAAAACCCCTCGTCCGACGTTTGTCGCCACGCGCTGTCAGTCGTCCGCTTGCTGTCGCAACCCCCTACGCTCGCTTTTTCCTTCGACGTTCTGTCACTGTGTAGAGAAGACCCGAGTCGCTCGTTGCATTCTTGGAGCAGCTGAGCAGCACGGGGCTCTGACTGACTCGACCGACCCAATCTCCATCCGTCGTTGTGGAGACTGTTGCTGGGTCCGCTTTCTCTCCGATATAACTTGCAACGACCCAAACAGTCATCAAGTTTCCGACTCGTCGTCCGCAATAAGTCGACAGGATGGGCTTCGGTGATTTTGACACGATTTGCGCCAAAGCGGCGCTCCCGCTGTGCTCCTTGGTGGGCCCGGCGTCCTCAATATCTGGCGACACCGGCATCATCCCCAACTGTTATGCTCGCAACATCGAACTGGCCAATACGATCATCTTCGAGGGCGCAGCGTCCTTCCTTCATATCATCGCGCTCGCCATGACGGTGATTATGATCCTACATATCAGGTCTAAATTTACTGCTGTTGGTGCGTGCCTTCGCGAGACAATGAAACTGACTTCGGCTTGGATATCAGAAAGAGAGAAGCATTACTGACCAATCAACATTTTTCATTCAGGCCGCAAGGAAATCATCACGTTTTTTTACATCTTCATGCTCCTGACTGTGTGCTCCCTGGTGATCGACGCCGGTGTTGTACCGCCGAGAAGCGGCCCTTTCCCGTATTTCGTCGCCGTTCAGAACGGATTGGCCTCGGCCCTATGCACGTCTTTACTTGTCAACGGCTTTGTGGGGTTCCAGCTATACGAAGATGGAACCGCGTTGTCCGTGTGGCTTATTCGACTGACATCTGCGATCATGTTCGCAGTCTCGTTTCTGGTGTCCCTCTTGACTTTTAAGTCCTGGGGAGGCCTCAGTCCCACCAACACTGTCGGTATGTTTGTGGTTCTGTACATCCTGAACGCAATTTGCATTGCCGTGTACCTCGTCATGCAACTCTTGTTAGTGATGAACACCCTCGAAGACCGCTGGCCGCTGGGTCATATCTGTTTCGGTCTGCTTGTCTTCATCTGCGGCCAGGTGCTTCTCTACGGATTCGGCGACACCATTTGCGACAACGTCCAGCATTACTTGGATGGACTTTTCTTTGCTACATTCTGTAATCTTCTCGCTGTGATGATGGTCTACAAGGTATGCTCTCATCTGCCTGTTCTCTCTTCAAGTTGCTAGGCTAATGTGTTGTTCTAGTTTTGGGATTACATCACAAAAGAAGACCTTGAGTTCTCTGTCGGCATCAAGCCTAATACCTGGGAGGTCAAAGAGCTTCTGCCTGAGGAGGACCGTCGCGCAGCAGGCTACCAAGACACCAACTCGGAGTACGCCGGCAGCATGTACCACCACCGTGCATCGACTTATAATGCACATAACTATTAATGCGGGATTCTTCCCGTCGTCCCGACATTACGCTTTGACGAGATTTTCTTACGTTTCCTATGCGCTTTATCTTTATGCACTTGCCCCTCCTCCCCCCGGGTTCCTCATCACTTGCAGGAATGTATACCCTGCCCGACCTTCTCACCGCACATTGTTCCTGAACTTTCTCATTTACAAGGAGCATTAATATAGCCTGTATTCAGCACATTTCCCTGGTATTTATTACAGAAAAGGACCACTTTCGTCTAGGCTACCGCTTTCCAGACGACATGTCCTTCTACCCCATTATCTATCTTCTCCGATTGGTGCATTTGAACTATTTTCTTGCATGGCCCTCTAGGACATTATTCTCTTGGCTCCTTTCGGCATGATTCATTGGCACATGCGATACTTGTTCATTTGATTTTATTTTCTTGTCGTTTATTTCAACGTTACATTGTATGTATATTGGCAGTGAGCAGTGAGATTACTGCCCCTCGCTTACCTAGGTTATTTTATGTATTCAGATATCAAATAGGGCTTACCTTACTCCAATAGGACACCTACATAAGATTCGGATTCGGATCTTACCGTGTCCTGTTCTTCCGGTTTGAAATGGAATTGCAAGGGGCGGGAACTACCTACGGTTCCCTTGAAGAAAAATATATTTTCTAGCTGAATTCAAGTGCGGATACTGAGACAATTATTGTTCGGATGAATATCAATTAGACTGATATCTGCGTTATCTACTAATGAGGGAGAGGACATGGGATTTCCTCCTCTCTTGTTCGTTGCTTTTAAAAATCGAAAGGATAGAATAGAAAAAGGGATATTGCGGTTAAAACGGATAATCATAAGTTAAGGGTGAATGAATATTAAAATGACTACTCCGTAAACAAAACACAAAAAAAAACCCCGGCCCAAAATAAAAACCATCCACAATATATCTGGCAATCTGCACTGCAATAAACTCAGATGGAGAAAGGAAGCCGAAACCACACACCTAACATACCCGAGGATGTAGCTAGTCCGTAGTCTAGGTACTAGTAGGCTGGGTAGTCGTAGTAGTCCTGCATGAAGGAATCAAAGCATTGTGCTCGGATACCGATTCTGAGTCGGGCCTGGCGAGTAGGAAATTGTTTCCGCAGGAGTGGATCCATCGGGGATATGACTCTCTCCCTCTTTCCCCCCACGCGCCAGAGTTGAGTGAATCCATCGAGGATGTCGTTAGTCCGATGTCGTTAGTCGTTACATGGGATAAAGTACCCGGTCTACTACTGTGTAGTGTGTACACGATATGCATGAAGGTTCCTAGCGTTGTAATTTCAAATTGGAGTTGGATTTTTTTGGGGTTGAAATTTATTTTCTGTTCTTTTTCTTTTCTGTCCTCCCCTGAAGACGAAGCAAGATGCGTTATCGGAATCAGGCCGTCAAGGTTCAAGCTAGACGGCGTAATCTCGGACTCCACATCCTTTATGATGGTGATGGTGTCGAGGTGCTCATGCTGCTCGAATCGGAAGGGTCAAGCACACAGGCGATCAGACCCTTCCTGACATGAATCGGCATAGAGCCACTTGTACCGCGAAGGAAGGGTGTGCTACCGCTCCACGATGATTTGACTGATGTAACCTCGGAACGCGAGGAACGATCGACAGGCGTTCTGACAGTCCAAGTGCATCGATCGCGCACCAACGGCGACTCGTTAGTTTGAGTCTAAAAGCGCGGCCGAAAGGTCCAAAGAATTTTTGATGTTCAAACCCCGATCCTTCTGCTCCCTGACTCTCTCTCCTCTTGGACAGCCCCACCCCACGCACTTGCGTCGTCATGAAGTCAGTAAGTAACGGTCCAGTAAATTTGGGGGAACACAAATTAGCTTTTTATGGTTGAAACTTTGGATGTCATTCATACCCGATCGTGGAGATTGACCGTTTGCTTCAATCCACGACCACGACGTCGTCTCCATCCATGAACCCACTGTCAGGGTTCGTCTGAGACCTGCCGTTCTCGGTCCGCGGCATTTCTTCAACTGGGGTTGTAGTGGCGCCGGCGTACCAACCCTTGTCGATGGATTTAACTAACACGTTGCATGCATCGTTGACAAGGTCGTAGAAAGCCGGGTTGTCTTTCGGTAGAAACATGGTGACATGCGCCTTAACTTCATCTCCGGCCTTGTCATTCGTAGCCCGGGCCCATCCCAGTCCTGGGGCCGGGAGGAACGGCAGGTCCTGCCCTTCAAGTTCGGCCGGAAGGGTGCAGAACGTGCGATGTTTGGATCGAATAATCTTCTGGCTGAAAGATGTCTTGGCTTGGTCGCGGTTCTCGACCAGCGAGCCTGCGCCTTGACCCAAGCATGTAAAGAAATTCGTGCACCCAATCCCGCGATCCTCGTGCACCTTGGACAGGAGGACCAGGCGCTGGCGCAACTCGGATGGTCGTGCCAGACACCCAACAAACGAAAGATGGGAGGACACCCAACCCCATCCGTCGGTCAGACGGTCACGTTGGGAATACATCGCAGCCGCCCCGCCCGCGGCCACGGCGCCCGCAGCCCCTGCAAACATCGCATATCGACACCATCGCTGCCACGACGGCGTTGCTGCAGCATCGCCAGAGGGGGAGGGATGGCCGGCATCTTTCCCTCGCTTTTGCTGATTCGCACCCGCTCCCTTCGCCGAAGCACTGGCGCCTCCCAACCCAAATATGCCCGCCACTTCTGATATTGTGTTATACGCCGACGCTGCGTTTCGGTAGTGTCCTTCGGCGCCGTACGACACAACCCCGGGAGCAATCCCTAGGAATGGGGTATCGAAAGCAAGCACTCCCTGGATATGGGGGAACATAAACGAGCCCGGCTCTATCGCATGTAAATTATCCGCGGTGCCCGAATCAACCAGAATTTCTGGATCCGTGTGCTGGGGAGGGATTGGTTGTTCCGAGGCAACCAAAAGAAGTGTTTCGGCAGCGACAATGCCACCCATCGAGTGACCAACTAGGAAGACATGAACGGACGGATCGACGGTAGGAGAGGCAGTTCGGTTCTCGACTTCCAGATCGATGACCTTGTTCTGGAGCCTACATGAGACCGAGTTAACGTTCGTCTTGACGATCCTCTAAACCGAAACCGTGGAGTGAAAATGGCCATCTCTATAAGGGCCCCGATAAACGTACCATTCACGAAACATGCTCACGCATTCTTTTAGATCCCCCCGAGTCTCATATTTGGGGTATACAGCCGTGGCGACCTTCACGGACGGAAGCGACCGACCGACCAGCGCACGGAAGTGCTCTGGGAAATCTCCAAACGTATCATCATCTCCCTATGAGTGATGGATTTGTGTTAGCCCGGCCGATTTGAATGATGGCGCCCATCGCAGAGCTCCCATAGACTTGGCGATATCATCAGCCGACGTAGGGGACGAATGCTAGGGACCTGAAACCAGCTCGGAGAGGCAAATCAAAAGCATGAACATACCTTGAAGCCGTGGATGTAAACAATAAGAAGCGTTTTCCTCATTTTCAATCGCCGACTGAATGTCGCTGCTCCATTTCGCGATGGACGTCCAGGCAGTCAGGTTGGGTCTTGCCGGAGACGCCAGAGCAAAACGGAGCCCGATGTGCTTCCGGTCCGATTCGGAAAGCCTTTACGTCATCTACACGTGACATTTCTCGGCATGTGATTGCGGCCTCAAAATGGAATGAAAAACAAGAATGGCTTGATCCTCAGATGACGGAAGATAAAATTGTAAATAGAACATACCAGTCCCAGGGCACACTAGCACTTCATAGTCGTACCAAAGAAGCGACAATTTAGGCAAGGGTAACACATCATAGAGGCCAATCTATCAACATTGTATCCAGAACACATAATAGATATGAACGAAATGTATGACGATATGTATGTGTATAGATGGGAAAAAGAAAACAGGATCGTTCATGATAAACAATGCCATCCGATAGCGCCTGGTAGGAAATATAACAAACCCTCAATCCCTTTTCGCGCCCTTCTCCCATGATAAAGAACCGAAAGGGTTATAATAGACATGAACATATCCAATGCCCTCTCGGGACTCCGGCAAATCTAAATACAACGAACGCTATTGTAAGAAACCCATCCAAATGTACCGAGTGTATCCCCGAGTTTATATTCAACTCCCAATGCCACCGTCTTTTGAAAAACAAACAGACCCAAAATAACATATAGCGTCATTAGTCATCAAATCCTTTAGTTGACCATTCAACCAACAAAATGGACTAGGTGGTTGATTGGTCTAGACGAACCCATTCACGGGGAACGTCCATGCTGCGATTTATACGCCCGCCTGGAGTCAGAGGCACATCGACCCGTCCCCGACCTCGTTCGTCGTCCGCAGAGTCTTCGTATGTAGACAGCCGCGAGAAGTAATCTTCCAGGATCGTCTCCCGATCATTGTCACCGACAATACTGGTGTACTCCGGAGGCGGGGTCACCAGCGGGGGCGGAGGTGGTAGATCTTCAAACGCGGGGGGTGCGAAGGAAGGAGCCCGCAGAAGATGCATGGGCCGCGGTGCCGGCTCGGGCTCAGGCCTTCGCTCGTCTGATTCATGGGCAAGGTGCGCTTGGGGAGGTCGAGCCAAGCCACCCGAGCCGCTGGTGAAACTTCGAGAGACAGCCCGTCCGGTTGGCGGCTCCTCTGGATCCTCCGACGGGCGCACAAGGCTAGAAGAGCTTTGACGGGATATGACGGGCGCACCGGGACAGCCGCATTCGTATTCCTGCGCCTGGGGCACCGGATCGGAGTTGGGCGAAGTGTACGCTGGCAGGTAAATGTTGGCTTGGGTGGCCTTGCAGGAGAGGAGATGGAAAGGAGAGTCGATGGAAATTTCGAAGTGACGACGCTTGTTAGGGTCTCTTTCATCCGGCTTGGAGAGACGCAACACAATCTAAGCAGAAGCAAGGTCAGCGAATTACATGTTTCACAATATCAGGGTGCTGAGTGGAGATCATTCATACCTTGATCCAGTGGTTGATCTGGATGTTTTCATAGGTGGTATCGAAATGCAGCCGTTGAGACTCCTCTCGGTTTCTCATCTCATGGCAACTAGGTAGTTGGACATTGAATTCCATCTCGGTCGGTCCAACGCCGGCATCGGTCGAAAGATCTCCCAGAAGATTGGTCCGATTTCGATCCACGACTTCCTCCCCTCTGGCGGCAGCCGCACGATGGTCGTAGGCAATGCCACCGCCCGACGTGACCCGCATTGAACTGCCGGGGTACGTGCTTGAGCTGACGGAGTCCGCTCGCTTTTCAAACAGGAGCACCTTCTTGGCCGGTGCGAACCGGTGCACAGATTTGTCTGCAGTCCAGTGCTGGGTGTTCTCGGTCACGTAAACCTTGATCCGATGGCATTCGACCTTGGCTAAGGGTGTCAGTTTAAACGCGATGGGAACCTGGCTGCCCAAAGGGAAAGATTTCCCCGAGATCACAATATCGTAATGCAGTTGGTCTTCCCAGTTGCGGGAGATGGCGATCGGTTCGACCTGCTCCAGCGAGCCTTCCGCCGGGGTGCGAATCACAGGCACCTCCAAATTACCCAGCAGGTTAGGACGGAAAGCACCCGACCGCTCGACGATAGCCTCGAGATCATAGCGAACAAACCCTAGATCCGTTTTTATCGTCTCCGGGAGGGATCCATCAATTGGGAATTCGAAGCTATATAGGTAATCCCCGACAGGGAACATACGATAGTTGCGCTGCGGAGCGGGCGGAACGATCGGAGGGTCGTTTTTACCGAAACTGCGCGACTGGTTGGATTGCAGGGAGAGTCGCTTGAGCTCCCGGCTTGTGGCCTGTCCAGTCTGCAGCGAGACCGACGACCCGCTCTTGGAAAAGATTTCGCGAGTGACCGCGGTCGGAGCGTCTTTGCCAGACACGGATGTAACCGGCTTCGCATGTTGAAAGAAGTGAGCGCCGTAATCGTTCTGCATTAAGGCGGTGTCGCCATGGTTGAAGTACATGACTCCGTGAGTGACCAGGTCCTTCTTATCATGGAAGTGGATTTTTCGGGGTGGAATTCCTAAACATGACGGCGAATTAGTATGCGCAGCCAACCAAATGACATCGAGATAAAGATTGGTCTCATCCAGAGATATATAACGTACCATCGGGCCAGTCGGTCTGCGCCTGACCGCGGAAGCAGATCGAGATCTTCTTGATCTTCACGCTTTTGGTGACCTTGAGATGCAATTGTCCGCGCAGGATGGCGGACTTTTTGGTGCTGGGGTCATTTTGATCGTAACCTTGCAGGTACAGGACGGGTTCTGTGAGTGCGATTCCCACCGAGATGCCGCTGCCGGACGCCACGATCTTCTCGTTGTTCAGCGCGGGGAAGGGCACGGTGGGATCCGACGACGGTGCCGTGGTATGAGTGGAAGCCGAAGAGGAATGGGAGACAGAAGCGGTCGGCGACGAGCCGGCGCGCATTCTCCCCGTGCCTAAATTTGGAGCGGCGAGCATTTGTGCATCCTCTGGCGAGAGCACAATCTCGGAGACAGGACGTGGGCGGCGAGTTCGTTGCATGGGGCGGACAGGTGGCGAAGACGGAGAAGATGAGTGCGCCCCCAAGCGGAGCAGGCGCTTTGCGTTCTCCCGTGGTCCCGCCAGCTTTCTAAATATCGAACCCCGCCAATGATTACCCTGCTTAGAAAATTGTTCCGCTTCGATCTCGGCGCCAATATTAGCCCCGACGGAACGACGGTCAGACCGCGAAGAACTGGACGAGCTGGCAAATAAGGATAAAGGTTCGGGAGCCGCGCAAGGCAGTTGGGCGACAGGACTGGTCGTCACGGATCTCGACAGGTCCTGCGGCAAGGGAGAAGAAATGTGAGCAGTGGTCATCGTGCGCAGCGCCAAACTCGAAGCATTATTTTACAGCAGAGAGAGAGAGGGGGAGAAAGGGAGAACAAAATGCAGCCCAACCGATTGCCTTTTGTATGCGAGAGAGAGAAAAAAAAACAACAGAGCTAAAACAAAAGAGGGTCTGGAAAGAAGGAAAAAAGAAAAGGAGAAGAAAAAGCTTAAAAAAATAAACTAAAAAAATACAGGAAGAAAAGAAAACAAGAGGATAAAAACAGAAGACCCCGGGTGGGGAGAAGGAAAGAAGTGAAACGGAGATCTGAAACCAGAAGCCGGTTGCCCGAAAAGAGACTGTGCAAGAGGAAGTAGGACAGGATAGGAAAGGAAAGGAAAAGGAGAGGAGAGGAAAGAGGAAAGACGGAGGAAGAAGTAGGAAAAGAAGGTGAAAGAGCAACGTAACGCATGGAAAATCCCAGAGTGCAAGTGACTTACCCCGTACTTGGCGGCTTGAAATGCAAGCTACTTGGGATAGAGTATGTGATACACTGATATTGGATTACGACGATGTTGGCCGGGATTTTTTTGCTTTTTGGTTGTTGCTTTCTGTCTTTGCCGTGTTGGGAAGATGATCGACGGACCCAACGCAAGGAGGAGCTCAGACCGGCGTGGCGGATGAGAATTGCAGACCGAGTGCAAAAGAAGAAGAAACAGAGAGCGAGAAAGACGAAGCGAACAGCGAGCGGGAAGGGAGAGGCAAGAGAAGTCAGAATGAATGGTGGAGATGCAAATGGCAAGCAAACAGGGAATGGCCAGAACGGCCCATGGGATTGCGGGGAGGGAAAGAGTAATACGATTCAGTAGTCAACCAGATTCAGAATGTCTTAAACCTGGATGCCAACAGATGACGGCAGCATAGAGTGAGGCGGTGCGTTGGGCGCAAACAAAAGGGAGGAAGAAAGAGGGAGTGTACGAGAAGGAGAAAAGGAAAGGAAAGGAAACGACAAGTAACTTAATTGAAGAAGACCGAAGGAGTAGGAGAAAGCAAGACGATGATGACGCAGAGGTTCATTCCATCCCGGCGATCCGTGGACTGCCCTTTCAGATTAATCATTCTATTATTATTTATTCTGACTATTACGGAGTAGATATTAGAGGATTAGACATCCCTACACCGGAGTGTTCCCTTCTTGTTTGGAAACAGGTTTGCAGGACAAGTTTGACCTTAACTTCCGGAGTAAAGAGGCTTTGACTATTGCCACGAGCATCATTCGTAGAAAATCTTGGGTGGTTCCTCCGGTCCTTCTTAATATTAAATGTTTTTCTCTCCACCGCAAACCCTCTTTCTCTGAATTCAATTTCACACTTTACTCGGTAGGTGTAGGCCATGTGATGGCGGTGCATGCGCACGTCTCCCTCTTCTACATGTTAGTCCAGCCTACACAGCCCATTTCTTCCTCTACAGATTAACCCGTTAAGGCTGTTAGTACCGTGGGCTTTTCCGCTAGCTCTGGAGAGGTCCAAGTCCATCCACCAACTTTAGTTCCCGCCAACTAGTTCCCCTCCGTGTGACGTCTGATCTTCCGTCGCTGCCGAGCGAGTCGAAAGAGTCGAAGAGGCACACACCCAGAAGAATCATCAAGGTTCATGAAGGAGAGGGACAATTCCGCGGAGACTCCAACACGCTCGTCTGTGCCGATTCAACGCCGAGTTTATTCCATCCTGACAGAAGGCATGTGGCTCGCTAGGGGTCTGGAACCGGTCGCATGTGTCGTTTTGTAATTATTATTATTTTTTTTTTGAATTCCCCAATCCCCTCATGGGCTGACTTCCGTAGTGTGCGGGGATCCGATTTGTCTAGTGTCGGCCTTGTGATGCTCGCCTAGACAGTGGTGATATCATAGACGGCCCGGCAAAAGTACCCGCTGACAAGGTGTGGACGTGGCCTTCGTCTTCCTCATCCTGTGTCGTGCTTCCCAGACTTGAATTGGAGAGATTGACCATCCTTATCTTAAGTTCCGTGGGAGGAACTGCGAAAATCCAAGTTAATCGCCAGTGTTCCATTCTGGCCATGTTGTTTTGACTTTTTGAGGTTCCATCGGCGCTGGTTCGGTGGGTGCAGAAACAACCTACATGGATGCCAGTGAGTTAGAATCTAGTATTACGCACATGGCGTCTCCAGAAAAATATGAAGCAGAAGATGGAATGATTTTGATCTGCCGGTAAGATCCTGCCGATCTGAGCTTTGAAGAAGTCCGTCGTTGAAGCCAAAATCGCGCAGGCAAAGAAAAATAAAGGATGAATTAAAAAAAAATGAAAAAGAAAAAGAAAAAAAGGCCCCGACTGATGAGGTCATCGGTCCAGTCCCGCCGACCAGAATTGGTACCTGATGACAGCCTGACCGTTGAGGCTGCCGACCCGGACGGGGCCTGAAGAAAAGCATAAGCAAGAACTACGGAATAGAAGAACTAGATTCATGTACCCCTTAATCTAACATCCCGTCTTGGGCATCCAATATAAGGCAGTATGCAGAACTTTCAGTTTTCTTTTTCTTTTTCTTCTTTCTTCTAGAACACTTGCAGTCTGCTTCCGCTGGTCTCATGTACAGCAATCTCGGGTAGGATCGACCGCTGCAGCATTCCCTTCCCCGACATTCCAGGCGCCCTCTATCGAGTTAATCGGGGATAAAGTTGAAGTATCAAATTGACAGCTAACTTCCCCTCCTTCACGCATACACTCTTTCGCGGGAGAACTTTGCCTGCTCCACTTCCTTACCTTGCGTCATTTCTGGACTCAGGTACCGCCGGCCCCTTGCATTAATCTATGTCTTTGGGGCCTGGGCATCTGCCTAAATCGGGCTGCTGGATGGATGGGTATTTGGTGGGGAGTTGATTGGCGGCTCCGTCAGACTCAGAACAGTCTTGTCCGCACTAGATCTTCCATGTCGATGAACCTCAACACTGCTGGCCCCTCCGAAAACGCGCCGTGTATGAATTCCTGGATATGCATGTACCTAATGCGGTCTTCAGTCGTCCGTAGAGCACAAATCAAGTAAACCAGTTATCGTCAATTTCATTGATGTTCATCAGTCTATCCCCTTCCAGCAAACCGGGGTCTCCACCCCCTTCGCCTCCAAAGTTCTCGCTTTCCATGAACAGGTCATCGAAGCTGGATTCTCCAGGCACAATCATATCGTCTGTACCACCACCAAACATCCCGTCCTGGGCGCCGTTGGCACCCGAAAATGCTTCGGCTTTCTGCAATTCCAGGTCGAATGCATCCCCTCCCGCTGGGAGATTTGCGTTTGGGGTTTCCGTTCCGGGCAAGTCGGTCGTCTCGTTGCCAGGGAGGTTATTTCCTTTCCCTTGTTCCATGACGCCGGCATTCGTAACGTCCATGTTGGATCCGGCAAGGAAGGTTTCGTTTCCAAGGTCATCGTCCCCAAAATCCAAATTAAGGTCGAACTCATTCGCACCGCCCGACGTATCGTTGAGCACGGAATCGAAATTGATATCCGTCGGCCCGGAGAGACTTTGGTCTGGAGCAGCAGCCTTCGGCTCGTCCGGCTTCTCTGTTTTGACCGGCGTTTGAGTTGGCGCTGGCTGAGGAACTTCCGCGTTTGACGGTGGCTGCGACGAAGCGCCGTCCTGCGCTGATTTGGTTTCAGTCTGGTTTGCATCCTCAGCAGATTCCCGAGACTGCAGCGTAACCTCTGGCTCTTGCTTGACGATTGGTTCATTCATAGCAACATCTTCGGCGGGTCGTAAGGCAGCCTTTCTAGCCTTGACTATATCGTAGTCCCTCTCGAGGAAAGCTTTTGCGATAAACTGTGAAAGGTTAGTATCGGTCAAATGGTTTCTGCTGCAAGGTCCGTCGCAACGAGAAGGCTACGTACTATTTGTTCAGACAGGCTGTCAAGCGCGGATTGAAACTGCTCCTGCGCAACAGGAACGGCCCGTTTCAACTGGGCGCTATTTTGCGACGAACCTTTCGATTTGAAGAATCGCCCGGTTTCAACCATCTGCGAAAGTCAGGGAAACTGGTTGATTTGAATTGAGCCGCTCGGGAGGATCATTTACCGTTTGATTCACCGTCGTCGCCAGGACATCCAGAGATTCTGGATTTGAGTAGTCGGAGGTGCCCATAGTTTCAAGTCTGGGTTGAGTGGCTGGAATCAATCGGGATGTAGGATTAGGACAGGAGTGTTTGAACTGTTCAAACGCGCGGATGCAGCCAGCTCCTTGGGTGTGCAAAGGTCGGGGCACGAGACCGGCAAGAGATGGAGACCAAGGAAAGCGGCCTCTAAAAGGATGTAACCAATGATAATCGATGTAGAGACGCAGGCAATATGTTGATGAAACGTGTTTAAGCGCCGGGAATGCGAATGACAGGTCCGCAAAACACCAGATTGAAGGAGGAGGAAGAAGAAGCTAGGAAGACCGAAGATAATGATGGCTAAGCGCCCACCGCCGAAGGGAGCGCTAACGCCAAGCGGGCTAGCGGGCCCCTCCCCACCCGCGGCGGCTCTCGACCATCCAAAGCCCAAAGTTCCAAACTCCTCGTTCTCTTCGCCATTCAATCTTTCCCGTCAAGTCAGGTCCATCCGCTGCTTTTCCTCTTGTTTTCTCCCCCGTGTTTCTCGTCTTGTTGATTGATTTGATTTTGGTTTGGTTTGTCATTTCTTCATTCCCATTTCCATTTTCATCTTCGATTCCTTCCAGTCTCCTTTCTTCTATTCGCTCATCCTTCACTTTCCTGTGTCTCCTCGCAGGTGTCAACATTTAAAGTGCTTGGGTGTTGTGTTTCTTCTGTTTGCTCCGTCCGTTTCCTTCTGTCACCGTTCATCGATTCTTCGTGTCCTTTCGACCTTTTCCACCACCGTTCGATTGTTGGGGTCGTGACAGCAACTGTTTGAGTCGCCGAGTCCTAGCGCTTTTTTTTTTAATCACCAAGCTACCATTTCTTCACCGTTTGTCTTCGACCTTTTTCCTTTTCTCTCTCCTCCTCTCTCTCGATCTCTCTTCTACTTTTTTGTCTTTTTGTCTTTTTTCTTATCCCTCCTCGCAGTCGTTCTCAACGACAGTTAATATTGAGCTTTATTGTATGATCTACCACCTTTTCTTTTCTTTTCTTGGTTTTTCTCTTCCTCTTTTTTTCTGTCCTGATCCCCGCGTCACTTTCCGCCTTTCGACTTCAGCCAATTCTGTGACTGCGTAACGCCCTGCATCGTCCCGTCCCTCCCACCCCCCCAAAAAAACAGTTATCATATCTACCCTGAAGCACCCGTCATAAAACGTCTTCAACATCTATTAACCTGTCCGCTCAGTCGTTCCAGTGATCAACTTTTTCTTTTCCTTCTGTATATTGCAGCTTGAGCTCGTCGACAATGGCTGATAACGTGCCCGCTTCGACCTCTTCTACCCTCCCGCCTCCGCAGCCCTCGACTGCTGCTTCAGGCCAGCAGTACGATGCGTCTCAGGGCAATGGTCAGGCCAATCCCTCCCACATGCCCCCTCCTCCTCGTCCGCCCGTTATAATTCCCCAAAATACCAACCCGATTCCAACAGCTATCACCTCTCCGATGTCTGGAAACATGATGTCCCCGACCAGCGCAGGTGGATTCGTTCGTCGGGCTGCCCCCGAACCAAACAAACGAGCTTTGTATGTTGGCGGACTTGACCACAGGGTCACCGAGGATATTCTGAAACAAATCTTTGAGACTACCGGTCATGTCATCAGCGTGAAGATCATCCCCGACAAGAATGTGAGTATGACATTTTTTGGCCGTCGGGAATGCTTCCCCCTCCCCCGAAGGTTGACGAGTTCTTCTTTTTCATTTTCATTATTTCTTTTTCATGCTGACTCCCGCAGAAGTTTAACAGTAAAGGATACAACTACGGCTTCGTTGAGTTTGACGATCCCGGCGCCGCTGATAGAGCCATGCAGACTCTAAACGGGCGCCGCATCCACCAGTCGGTATGCGAGCCAGATCTAGTCATCGTTTACTTTTGTGAGAGGGGGACTGTTCTGATCGATGTCAACAGGAAATCCGCGTCAACTGGGCCTACCAGTCTACTACCATCACTAAAGAGGATACTTCGAACCACTTCCACATCTTTGTCGGTGATCTGAGTAACGAAGTCAACGATGACGTCCTTACGCAAGCCTTCTCTGCGTTTGGCTCCGTTTCCGAGGCTCGGGTCATGTGGGACATGAAGACCGGTCGCTCTCGCGGCTACGGTTTCGTTGCTTTCCGCGATCGCTCGGATGCCGACAAGGCGTTGAACTCGATGGATGGTGAATGGCTTGGTTCTCGTGCGATCCGCTGCAACTGGGCCAACCAAAAGGGACAACCTTCCATCTCTCAGCAGCAAGCAATGGCGGCTATGGGCATGACTCCGACCACGCCCTTCGGTCATCACCATTTCCCCACCCACGGCATCCAGAGCTACGACATGGTCGTCCAACAAACCCCTCAGTGGCAGACCACGTGCTACGTGGGCAACCTGACTCCTTACACCACGCAGACCGATCTCGTCCCGCTCTTCCAGAATTTCGGCTACGTCCTCGAGACCCGTCTGCAGGCGGACCGTGGCTTCGCATTCATCAAGATGGACAGTCACGAAAATGCCGCTATGGCTATCTGCCAACTCAACGGGTACAACGTCAATGGTCGCCCCTTGAAATGCAGCGTACGTTCTTCTCAGTTTCCTCCCTCCCCCTCCCCCTTTTCTGTTTGTTCTCGTATCACTGATAGAGTCCTATAGTGGGGTAAGGATCGGCCCCCCACCGGTCAGTTTGACAACTTCTCTGGTCAACAGGGCAACTCCCCCTTCAACAACAGCCCCCAGCCGTATTTCCCCCAGTATGGCGGCCCGGGTGCCCCCATGACTCCTCAAGGTAAGTTTCCCTTTCTTGCCAATCCCGCTTCAGCCGTGGGCCTGTCTAATTCACCCGATGTCTAGGTCCGAACCCAGCTGGAAGGGGTTGGGACCAGGCTGGAATGGCCGGTCAGGGCTACGGCCAAGTGCCAGCAAACGCCGGGTACGGTCGCGGACAGGCTACCCCTAACTCTGGCTGGAACCAGGCAAACAACGCCAACTTTGGCAACGGCTTCGGAAACTACCAAGCTTAGTTCATTTCCCAATGGATGGCCACAACACGTCGCACCTTGCCCTCCTTGCCTCGCCTTGGATCGTGAAGTGTGAAACAAGTCATCCACGGCAGCAACCGTGATGAAGAAGCCTTCCACTTCTCTTCCCCCCTTTCTCCTTTTCCTTTTCCCCTTTAATATTTCGTCGTTTGCGCCCTTTCCAGGATCCATTTTATTTCGTATTTCACATCTTCTGTTTCTTTCTTATGATTGCCTTAAGTGGACTTTTTCTTTTTTTCTAAAGCGCATCTCCCATTCTCAAATGCTTTCTTTTTGAAATGAAATTTTTGTGTGTTATCGTACACCCAATACCCCAAGTCCATCTTGTTGTCAACCTTTCTCTGCTCTTTTTCTTTCGAGTGTGCGCAACTTTGATCAAGAGCTTCTTGGACTTCTGATTCAAGCGTTCTGCCGGAATAAACTAAAAGTTTTCGTTCGCTTTCTAACCCGTGTTTTGGATCATTATCTGAGAAACTGTTTTCTCCCAAGTCTGTATCGTATCTGCTTAAGTTTGTATGTGTGGCCTGTTCTGATCAGTGTCCCGTCGCGTGCGGCGCGAGACAAATGTCGATGTCGAAGTCAGGTCCCCCCTGTTGTGTGATAGCGCTTTTTCTCTCTTTTCATCTTCACAGACAACGTCGATCAACCGACCGATCTCTTTTCGATCTCTGCTTCACAGTATCTTCTTTCTCTTTCATGATACCAAATCTTTCTGCGACTTCATGTTCTGGCGTTTCGGACAATATACCTATTTGATTTGATCATATTTTTGGGATGCCCCGAGCGGTTTATCTTGAGTAGCGTTACAGAGTAGTTAGCAATGAACCATCTCCAGCCACCGGGCGGAGTACTTCAGCTTCAATATACAAGGAATAGGCACTGGCAGAGAACGGTCCAATTGAGGCCGATGCGGAGAAAGGAGTCTAGAAGGCGGCAGGCCCGAAAACCCGCCACCGCCTTGGCTTTGGTCGCCAGCTTAGATTGACTTCCCCTTCCCCCTACCCTTTCGATCTTGTCTCACTTTTAGCTGATGGAATTCCTACCCAAAAATAAAGGGTCGACGGCGCAATCCTGATAGTGGACCTTCGGATGTGGGCTTGCTAACGGCCAGCTGCGCTAGCCGTGCCCAGCTTGCCGCCAATGGACGATGCTAGCGACGGTAAAAGCGTGGCTCTGTCGTCGCTAGGCGATGACGATCAAATCGCAGGCCGGACTCGTTCCGGGAGCGCAAGCAGTGGACACAAACGCAGTTCCTCCGGCTCTTTACTTTCCAAGCTCTCCTTTCTGCGGATGATCCAGGCCACCCAGAACACCCCCGAGAGAAGCCACTCGGGCCTCGACCGACCCGATGGCGACGACCTCGGCGCCGGCCTACGAGGCGGCAGCAGGGCGATGTCGAGTGCCTTGCAACATCGCCGGACGCGAAGACGGAGGGGCTCGCTCAGAAAGGCCGCCTTACTGAGCACAAGACTCGATTTTCGCGACAAGAAGACCAACAGAGCTCCGCTGGACGTCTTCCGTGCAGAGGATCCCTCTGAACAGCACCAGCAGCAGCAGCAGCAGCAGCAGCAGCGCCAACAGTCCCCGCATCTTTTCCCTCCGCATTCGCACCCGTCGCTATCCTCAACCTCCACCACGCCCTTGCGACCGTTGGCAGGGTCCGTTTCCCCCGACCACGACATCACCCCTCATGAACCATCATACCGGGAAACAGGCAATCCAGGAGAGAGCTCGGGATGGAACCTGATGAACATGCCGCAACGGTCCCTCTCCGCCTCCGCCCCTTCCGTCCCGCGACACCAACAAAATGCTTCGAAAGACAGCCTGGGTGAGGTCACCACCGACGAGGAGGATATCATGTCGTTCCCCCGAGTAAAGAACACCAATGCGGCCGTCGCTGCCGCCGCCGGCTTGCATCTTCCAGCTGCATCGCCGAGCTCGGATCCATACTACGCGCTCCAGGCGGACCCGAAATACCGAGCCATGCACCGTGCAAAATCGCCTCTTGCGACTCATCCGGCGGACATGACAACTAGCCAGGAGATGGTGTGGGATTACTCGGAGACAGAGTGGTGGGGCTGGATCATTTTGATCGTGACGTGGCTTGTTTTTGTCGTCGGGATGGGCAGCTGCTTCGGTGTCTGGAGTTGGGCGTGGGATGTCGGCGAGACTCCGTATGCGCCCCCGGAGCTGGAGGATGATCCGACCCTACCTATCGTGGGCTACTATCCCGCTCTGATTATTCTGACGGCAGTCATGTCCTGGGTGTGGGTGATCATCGCATGGGTCGGTATGAAGTATTTCAAACATGCCAACATATCCGGGGAGGATATATGACCATGGCGTTGGTGTCTTCCGAAATGCTTTTTCTTGTTTTCACTGCCTATGCACATGCTTTCGGCGCCACTATCCAATAGATGTAATTTCTAATGCAAATTCCTAGAAGCGCCTATCAAAGGGGCCTATTAAATGACATATATCCATATCCAACACAAACAAGAAAGGGAAAGAAATGATATAAACCTGAGATAACTCCAAATCACAGCCTCAACTCCAAGATCAATCCGTACATCTATTCCCATTCATGGATCTACCCGTCAATGCGATAAGGCGCATTGATTCGCGCATTCTAGTCGATGTTGCGCCATCCGGACACTGAGGTCATCAACGCCCGACTTTTTGGCGCTCACAACACCCGGTTCCGACAGGTCGGGCTCTGATGCTCTGCCAGACCCGTCGACGTTCTGCGGCTGCACCGTCGTTCCCGGGGCGGTGCTTACGAGACCCTTGGACACGGCGTAGCAGGAGGAGCGGTCGTGGTTCAAATCCTCGCTGTAGAACTCGTCCAAGATGGGATGCAGAAGCACTGTTTGCTTGTGGATCGTGACGATCGAGTTCGCCGGGACAGAGACCCAATTATCTAGAAACCAGTCGGGAGTGTTAGCAACGCGCAGGGCCACCACGATCATAATAAATAGGCCACTCACGTCTCTCAAAAGTGATCGGCTCACTCGCCACTAGGACAATATCCGCGCCTTTATCGTGTCTCTCCATCTTGAAGTGCCCCTTATCCTTCCCCTCCTTCCACTTCGTCCCGGACGAGAAGTACAAGCTCGCCGGCTCATCCGTCTTGCTGCTAATGTACCGCGTACACACGACCGTATGGCCATCCGTAACCGCAAAGTTCAGCAGACTGCGCGTCTCCACCCCAGACACATTATGCCGCTTAGGGATGTCGCGAATAAACTCGTTGATCTTAGCGATGGTCTTGACCATGACTTTCCGCAGCAAGGCCTGCCCGAAGCCCTCCGGGCCCGGGTCAGAGCTAGGATCAACGCCCTCCTTCTCCAGGAGGTCGAGGAACAGCGCAAAGGCCCACTCGCTGTCCGTGCCGCCCTTGACGCCCAGGTACCAGCGGTCCGCGAGCGAGTCGGCCAGCGTGCGCTTGATGTAATGCCAGCCGCCGATGCCGCCGTTGTGCATCCACATCAGCGTCTGGTGCTGGAAGGGGTGGCAATTGTTGTCGGAGAGCGCGCCCTCCGTCGTGGCGCGCACGTGCGCGAAGATCAGATTTGAGCATGTCTTCGACGCGAGCCGTTCCAGGTTCTCGCAGTTCCAGGCCGGGAGCGTCGATGTGAAGATGCACGGCTCGGGGCCGAGCTTGGGGTCGGTGTAGAATCCGACTCCGAAGCCATCGCCGTTGACGGGACGGCGGTTGTCCTTTTTAAAGGTTAGACGGAGATGATGGGATAGAAAGAGACAAAGATGGCTTGAAGACCGAGACTGCTCGGTTCGATCAAGGGTGCACTCACTAATCGTAAGCGAGAATCATACGATTGAGTCAGGATCGAATGACTTGGTTCTGTAACCAGTTTGCTCAAACGAATCTCATGGCTGCCTTTGTATACCTAACATGAAGGAGCGGTCAGATGCATGAATGACATCAGGGCGATATGGAGATGTATGGCCAGCTCGACATACCAGAAAGCGGCACATAATGAACGGGAAAGAAGCTCTAAGACAAAGAGTTCGCTTCGAGGTCCGGTCGAAGGATTCTAAACAACAGAATTTTGAACTTGTAGAAATTCAGACCGAACAATACTAAATCTTTGTTTCGGCGGCCGAAATCGCAAGCTGATAAGAGAGACAGGCGGAGCTTCGTTTTTAGTTCTCTCCACGTTTACAGAGGGCGCAAACAGCCACCACGTTCGACCAGATTGGAGCAACTCAATGGATCGGAGAATGAAAGAAACAAGGGTTATAGAAAAGTTAAAGCTAGAAAATAAATCTGTAACATGTCTTCTTCGTCGCGACAATGTCGCCATCTGACCACACGTGACTCACACCGACTCTCTACGGGCGGCGTCGCGGCCATTCGCGCAGGTCACGGGATCTTTATGCCTGAGGCATGCATTGATGACATGCCATTTCTCTCCGCCTTTTCTTTCGTCAGGCATTGATCTTCCCACACCTTCATCTACTACCCCCTAAATCAAACCAACAAGAGAGATATCCTCGTGGCTGACCGGCCCGGGAGATGACCGCTCCCCTCTCCCTGATTGATTTGCGGTGCATGACATTTCTCGAACCATGAGCGGGAGAATCCTCTCCCACCGTCTGGTTCCGCTCCTGCGGACGGGTCTTTTGGCCCGCCATCTTCACAACGCCGGTGCCAGGACTGGCGGCCTCTTGCGATCCAACGGAGGTGCCGCCCTTCGCGGACGAGCCTGGCCTGTTGGCGCCAACCACATTCACAATGTCCCTGCGGTGCGGACCATCTCGTTTGCCCGCATCCTCCCTAAACTGGCCCTGAAGTTGGCCCGGGTGCCGGCTATGTTTGGAGGGGCTATGGTTGCTGGGTTGGCCTATTTTCAGTACCAGGCTACGCGTAAGTATTGATTGAGTGTTCCCTACAGCTTGAGTTGAGCTAATATGAGGTTGATTGTGTGTTACAGAGGCGGGGAATTACGCTATTGACGTCTTGAAGCGGGCGGGGGAAACGGCGAGTGATACGGCTTCGACTTTTTTCGTGGGAATCCAAGGCATGGCTGAACAGACACAAAGAGGCTGGCAGAAGACAAAGGATGATGTGGAGCTCCCGGAATGGCTACAGAAGCTCCTTCGTATGGATGAGGATTCACAGTCCGGCAACGGGGGTTCTTCAGGAGGCGGTGGTGGCGGCAAGCCTCCCCATGAAAGCAGGGGCGGTGTCGGTGCTGCCGCTGGAGCTGCGACCGGAACTGCGTTTGGATATGATGCGGACGAGGAAGACGTCCGGTCCAACAGGGAAGTTGCCGAGGATGACCAGATGATGCTTCTTACTCGGAAAATGATCGAGATCCGGAATATCCTGTCGTCGGTTGGACAGTCTAACACGCTTACGCTGCCCTCGATCGTGGTCATTGGCTCGCAGTCCTCTGGTAAAAGCTCTGTTCTGGAGGCCATTGTGGGCCATGAATTCCTACCGAAGGGCTCGAACATGGTCACCCGTCGACCCATCGAGCTTACCTTGATCAACACCCCGAACGCACAGGCCGAATACGGTGAATTCCCGGCCCTCGGACTGGGCAAAATCACCGACTTCTCTCAAATCCAACGCACCTTGACCGATCTGAATCTCGCTGTCCCAGAGAGGGACTGCGTCACCGACGACCCTATTCAACTCTCTATTTACTCGCCCAACGTACCTGACCTCTCTCTTATCGACCTTCCCGGTTACATCCAAGTAGCCGGACAAGACCAGCCGCCGGAGTTGAAGCAGAAGATCTCCGACCTCTGCGACAAGTACATTCAGGCCCCCAACGTCATTCTGGCTATCTCTGCCGCCGATGTGGACCTTGCCAACTCGACGGCTCTGCGAGCAAGCCGACGGGTAGATCCCCGCGGCGAGCGGACAATCGGTGTCATTACCAAGATGGATCTTGTTGACCCAGACCGCGGCGTCAACATTCTTTCGGATAAAAAGTACCCACTGCGCCTAGGATACGTGGGCGTGGTCTGTCGCATTCCTCAAACTACGGCTTTGTTCTCGAGGGGAAGTGGCAACATCACGAGTGCGATCCTGAAGAACGAGAATGCCTACTTCTCGGCCCACCCTCAGGAGTTCGGCTCCCAATCGGATCTATCGATCGGTGTGACGACTCTGCGCAACAAACTCATGCATGTTCTTGAGCAGACTATGGCATCGAGCCTAGCAGGTACTAGGGATGCCATCAGCCAGGAACTCGAAGAAGCGACCTACGAATTCAAGGTGCAGTACAACGACCGTCCCTTGAGCGCCGAGTCATATCTGGCCGAAAGCCTGGATAGCTTCAAGCACTCATTTAAAGCGTTCGCCGAAAATTTCGGCCGGCCTCAAGTTCGCGAAATGCTGAAGAACGAATTGGACCAGCGGGTCATGGACATCTTGGCCCAGCGATACTGGAACAAACCCATTGACGATTTGGCTCCTGTGCTGCCCGAGCTGGACCCTCTCAGTGACCTCCCAAAGGCGGACCTGGATTCGCAGTATTGGCGCCGTAAGCTTGACGGTTCAACCTCTTCCTTGACAAAACTGGGTATCGGAAGACTCGCTACGACGGTCGTCGCTAATGCAATCCAAACCCACGTTGACCGGTTACTGGCCAACTCTACTTTCGCCTCCCACCCTTATGCTCAAAAACAGATTGTGGATGCTTGCAACAGCATCTTGAACGACCGATTTTTCAGCACTAGTGATCAAGTCGAGAATTGCATCAAACCCTACAAATTTGAGATCGAAGTCGAAGACCCGGAGTGGATCAAGGGCCGAGAAAATGTCAGCAAAGTGTTGAAGGACGAGCTTCGAGCCTGTGAGAGCGCTATGCGACGTGTTGAAGACAGCGTTGGTAAGAGAAAGCTCAAAGATGTCATGGCATTCGTGGACAAGGTTCGCAAAGGCGAAATTCTACTAGAAGGCGACGTTGCCAGCACTGCTGGTGCCGGTGGATTCAGTGCCGCCCTCCTAGCTACCGGTATTACCCCCCTCACTTCCTTCCTCTGATCTATCTAAGCTAATTAATCCTCCAAAGCCCGCGAGAGCGTCTTCCTCCGAGACCGCGCCGACCTCCTCAAGATGCGTCTCCTCGCCATCCGCTCCAAGCAGTGCGCCTCCAAGAAGAACAAGTACTTCTGTCCCGAGGTCTTCCTCGACGTCGTAGCCGACAAGCTCACGTCGACCGCCGTGCTCTTCCTCAACGTCGAGCTCCTCTCCGAATTCTACTACAACTTCCCCCGCGAACTCGACATGCGCCTCGGTCGACACCTCTCCGACGCCGAAGTGGAACGGTTCGCGCGCGAAGACCCGCGCATCCGCAAACATCTCGACGTGATCAAGAAGAAGGAGCTACTTGAATTAGCCCTGGAGAAGATCGAAAGTATCCGACAGCTGGATGGACGCAACAAGCACCGACGAACGGATCGTCCGTTGGCCACGAAGGAATCGAGGAACCGAGGATGGAATCTGTTCTAAGTCGTTCAAGAACTGTCCTCCTTCGTGTCTGTTAACAATATCTTTTCTACCTTCCATCTACAACACTACATACATATACTTATACTCCTTCTCTCTCCCTCTCATTCTTCTTCTTCTCTTCTTACCCATTCTCGTCTCCATGTGGCAACCGTCTGTCATTCCCCTCCCTTCTTTCTTCCTCCAGTCTCTCCCTCAATCCTCTCTCGTGTATACCAAATATCATACCCACTGTAGGGGAATTGTTCATAGTTCAAGAAGATCAGGATTAGGCGTTGTCGTTATCATTATCCACTCTCACAAGCACAGCGAGTGCTTTACCACTGTTTTTTTTTCTGTTGTCCCTTCATCTCCCATCTCAGGTACGCTTAATCATTAGATCGTGACTCAATAGGATGTTCGTTGGATGTTATATTGCCAGAAAACAAGAATCACGAAGTTCGATAGGAGAGAGGAGAGAGGAGAGATATTAGACACGAATCCAGGATAAACAGACAGAAACGCATACTAAAACACAAAGTGACAAGAATCGTTCGTAATAAATAGTACTAAGACGGAAGGCCGATGTAAAAGATATAGAAGGGAAAAAAAAGGAACAGAATGATTAAGGCCTTCCCAGAAACCAGAAAAGACCGAATCTAACGCAACGAAGAAGTCTAACAACAGGATCAAGTAATAGAGGAAACAACAAAAGAAAAAGAAAGGAAAAACCAGGTCTATCTAATCCATACACAGAGATACACACAAAAAGAGAACAAAGTGATGAGTAACAGATACAAAGAGAGAGAGGAAGGGGGATAGAGAAAGACAGAGAGTAACAGAGTCTTCAAAACCAAGGGGGTAAGCAATGCACGCTTTTTGTTGTCTCTCAAGGGATTCAAACATTTTTGTCTGTTGAGGCCAGCAGTGGATGAAGGAGACGGAGGACCGAATCACCAAGTAGCAAGATAATGAAATCAGATCAATCAATCAGAGGGAAGAATACCCGTCTCGATGGATATAGAACAGAACAGGAAAAGACAAAAAAAGAAAAGAAGTCAAAAGGATGGAGAGTTGGTAAGGTAGGTAAAGGTAGTAAGTAGTAGTCATGTAAACGGCGTCAAGTAGAAGTAGGTTCAAGGTTCGAGGTAGTAATGAGAAATACAACAGAAAAAAGAAAAGCTCTCGCTCCGAATATTCATAGGCATCGCATCGCATATCTTGCTGGTGGTGGTACAAGGGTTCCGCATTCTATCCAATATTGGGAATCGTTTCTTTACTCCCGAGAGACGTCACGGCCGAAGAGCTTGGCCTTGATCCAGTCGTTGGCGACCAGAACACGGTTGCGAGCTGAGAGAGAGAGAGAGAGCTGTTAGAACAATTCTTCATAGATAATGGCTAGAAAAGGAAACTTACTGCTGAAGCACATGCTCAGATAAGCACTGCGCCAGAAGAGGTAGGTCATGGTACCGCCACTTGCGATGTTGCCGCTCAGCCAGCTGATGTCTGCAACTGCACGCTCCTTTCCGATGTAGGCGAGACTTCCCTGGTGCGAGTACTGGAAGGGACCGATCTGCTTGGTTCTCCGCAGCTGGCGCTGACGCTCCCGGATCTCGTCGAAGACCTCGTTGCGCTCGTCGCCCTTGGCCTCAGCCTGGGCCTCGGACAAGCGCTTCAGCTCCTGCTCAACGGCCTCGGTCTTGGCCATGGTGTTGAAAAGACGGGCCAGGAAAGCACCCTCCTGACTGGCCACCTGGGCGGTGGGCGCGTAGTTGGTGATGGCGCAGTCACCGACGGCCCACACGTTCTCGGTACCGTTGACGACCAGGTATTCGTTGACGGCGAGACCGCGACGCGAGTTCTTCTGGGCGGGCAGCTGGTTCATGAGGTCGCGAACCACGTTGCGGACCGCGTTACCGGTGGCCCAGACCAGCAGACCGTAGGGAATGGTCTCCATCTCCTTGGAGCCGTCGGGCTTGGTGACCTCGGCCTGGATGTACTTGTCGGTGACGTTCTTGACCATGGTCTTGGCGCGGATGGAGATGGCCTCCTCCTTGAAGGTCGACTCGGTGTAGTCAATGAGCTGCTTGGAGAACATGGGCAGCACGTTGGGGAGGGCCTCGACCAGGGTCACATGGAAGTGCTTCTGGATGTCGGGGATCCACTTCTTCAGATCTTCCTCGAAGAAGTCCTGCAGCTCACCGGCGAATTCCACACCGGTAGGGCCACCGCCAACAACCACCATGTGCAGCAGTCGCTTGACCTCCTCCTCGGTCTGGTCCTTGAACATGGCGGTCTCAACGCAGTCCATGATGCGCTTACGGATCTTCTGAGCGTCACCGACCTCCTTCAGGAAGCAGGAGTTCTCCTTAACACCCTTGATACCTACAGTCGTTGTGGTTAGTCGCGAATTACGTCATATACGAAGTAAAATAGTGATTCATACCGAAGGTGGCGTTCTCAGCACCGACACCAACGACCAGCATGTCGAAGGGCACCTCAGTGTGGGAGATTTCACCCTTGATCTCGGAGTCGTCGCTGATGTAGACGACGCGCTTCTCGTAGTCGATCTTAGTGGCCTCGGCTTCGTAGAACTTCACGTGAGCCTGCTTCTGGCGCAGGATGTTGCGGATGGGCTCCATGATGGAGCGGTGCTCGATCAGACCGGTGGTACACGAGGGCAGCAGGGGAGTGAACAGGAAGTAATTTCGGGGGGAGACGACGACGACATTGTAGTTCTCAGTGTCGAGCTTCTTGAGCAGAGACACGGAACCCCATCCAGTACCTAAATTGAAGCAAGGACAGGTTGTTAGTAGGGATGTCACGAATGACGCCACGACCAATTCCGCGATCACACGCAGAAGCAGGCAAGGCCGCCAGAAGAAAGCAAACGCGATCAGGACCTACCCAGAATAACCAGGGTCTTCTTCGACGGGTCGGGCTCGATCTGCTCGATGGGGTGACGCAGCTCGTAGATGCTGTAGGCCAGAGTACCGGTCAAGGCGATACCGGTGAGCCAGGTCAGACGCCAGGTCCATCGCAGAAACCGGAAGCCCTTCTTCTTGGGCTGGGGAGTGGGAGCGGCGTCGGCGTAGGTGCGACGAGACTGACGGGCGAGACCGCCAGATCTCACGGGGAGAGCGGATCGAAGAATGGGTCGCGTCGAGAGCGACCTGCGCGACAGCGACGACAACTGCATGGTCGATGGGGATACCATCTTGGAGCGGATGGCCAGCGTACTTCCAACCATTGTCGGTTGATGTGTCGGAGGGGAGAGGGTCTGAGGGTTAACGGAGGGAGAAAAAAAAAAGAAAGGGAGAAAAAAAAAGAGACGTGAGTCAAATTGACCAACAAAAGGGGAGTTCGGTCAATTGACGACGGAGATAATTCTGATTGTTTGGTGCCGGAGAGAAAAAAAAAAAATGGAGATGACGATAGCGAAGGGAGGATGGCAGTTAAGCTGTTTTGGGCGAATCGGTGTGTTCGCAGCTCCTCTTGGGTCCGAGTTTTCCACCGGTGGAGTCACCACTACTCCGTACTGTGTAGAAGGAAGAAGGGTTTACGCTGGAGGAATTTGGAGAATGAGGAGACGCTAAGCAGTCTGTGAGGGGAAGGGAAAATTCCTCAGACAGGAAGATTAAGCGCAGGATGGAGACGAACGGTGAGGGGAGATTTAACCATTTAACAATTTAACTAAATAATAACGATGACTCTTCCATCAGCGCAGATAATGCCAAGTGGGGACCGGATCGTTTTAGTCATTCTTTGTAGTTTGAATTCCATGATATCACTATCACTATGTACGCACCCTGTGATTTCTCTCCAATAATCCATAAACACGAAAACAACTCCCTCAATGCCTAAATTCCCCTTCATACTCTAATTTATTCCCTCAACTCCCCTCGACGAGAATCTCTCGCTGAGTCATCGAGTCTGCCCTACGGTCCCTCCCGAGATTCTCGCCGGCTTCACCCGCATCTAGACCTTTTCCTTTTCTTTTTCTTCTCCATCGCCCATGTCTGTTGTTCGATCCCAGTCATTCAATGGCACGAGGCGAATCCGGGGAAACCCATCAGCTCCACTCCGCTGTTGCTTTCCTCACAGCTCCATTTGATCCCCTCCAAAATGCCCCGGTTGCTAGGGGACTACAACTGCATACGCTTGGACCGGTGTAGATGGGGTTATGCGATTACCCAGATTCTGGGGTCTTTTCTCTTCCCCTTCTCCCCCGTGGCCTGATCTTTGTCTAGTGGTTTAGGGGTGAGCCTTTATCCCTGCCATTTTTGCTCTGTGGATCTTGTTCGATGCTTGTGGACTCCGTAGCGTTCACTACCTGAATAGGTGCATGGTATGCACAGTAGATCCGGATGGAACTGGCGGGCTAGATCTAGTTAAACACAATTTTATTCAATGTTTATGAATCCGACACTCCCTCAATTACTAATTTTCAGAGTGAGGACTTTCTTCTTCTGGCGGGGGAAGAGAGAGTCCTTATTAAATGGAACAGTCTATACTCTATCAACTGGTGTATAATCTCGCTTCGTCCAACAGACATATCTCGCTACGACCCAGGAATCCTCGCTTAGGATACTAGATATTGCTTGTAAGCTCCCAAGATAGGCACTATAGCATACAGAACAATCACACCTAGCCACCAGTATCGCCATCACTGAAGGTTTATATTGGCAAATCTAGGCCTGAAATGACCCCAGTTTTGTTTATTTATAGACTCTATACTATTATGATGATTATATCCTAAGCCCCGTTTAGAAACCTCTCCCCTATCTGTATACTTGCAGTTGGCATTTCACGGTTGGTTACAGCGTACAGTGAAAGATTCTACGAGAAATCTATACCAAACATACTTGCCACGATCAGTAGCACATAGTCATCAACGTAATATTCTCTAATGATTCCTCAAACTACCAGCTTGTCGGTAATATCCCCTCCACCTGTATTTCGACTTCAATTTTCCATTCTATTTTTTGAATCTAGGAAAATAAACGGACGGTGGCAATAGACTGCTCCACCCAGACAGCCGACAACAGAAAAGAACCACCCTGTCGATAGCCGGTCATAGAAAAACCATCCCAATCATAGACAGTTCAAACCCTTCGAAGTCCCTCCCCAGTCCCTGAGCCATCCACGCAAGCTCCCTACTCACAAGTCCAGTCTACCCAGGATCGGGCATCGAATGCTGAGTCATATGCTGCAACATCTCCTCAACGACAACGCTATCATTCCTCACATGATACGAGTCTCCCAAAGACTGCGATTTCAAAGCCCACGGAGCAAGCCTCTCGCCCACCGGACGAGATCGATGATATTCGTAAAACCGAAGCTCCAGACCACGAAACAAGAGAGCCCAGCATCGCCCAGAGTCCGGGTCAGGATTCGATAAGTCGAGGGCTTGTTCGAGCTGCTTCAGAGATGCTTTTGTGTTGTCGCCCGTAGTCGGTCCAGCTAGGGCCACTGTATGATGTATTGGGGTGAGGTCATCTGGGTAACGTCGTTGATAGTGGCGAATGCGGAGGATGACGGAGTCTAGGCCATGACGCTCAGGAGTGATGATCCAGCCGTCTGTGACGAGGAAGTAGAGATGGAGAAGGGTGTTTGATAATGCTTTGACTTCGTTTCCGGGTATAGGGTCTGATACGACGGAGTCTAAGATGACTTGGACTGCGGCGAGGGAGATGTATGCTGCCATTTTGGAGGTGTTGTGGTGGTTCTTGATGGAGGGTTGATGTGTAGAGAGGAGGTTGACACAGGTGGAAGGTGGGTGTGGAAGCTACAATGACCCCTCCTATCTATGTACAATGACCCCTCCCCTCTATGAGTGAATATCATCAACTTCAGATATACACTACAGCGTTGTCTCTTTGCAACAAGTGAAAAGATAAAATAATACAAGACAATCCAAAAATCAACCTCCTCTCCTACCGAATCCAACTGTCTAATTGTCAAAGTTCATCTACCTCACGTTCCCTCGTATACTCACGACAGAGTAATATCCCTGATAACCTACAAATAACCCCTAAGGCAGAATCTCCCAATAACTTGGACTTGGACTTGGGTTTAATCCTAGAACGCATGCAAGCCAGCAAGAGACATTCCATAGTAGATGGAATACCGCCCATCGATCAACAATTCTATATATATTAACATAGCAAACAGCACATATATACCACGCCTGGGACATCTTCTACCGCAGTTCTAGACAAACAGCACAGAGCATCCAGAGACCAATGTAGCGTCTTTTGCAACACATATCTGACTCAAATAAACCTATACAGACATGCCATGATATTCCAATTCTATCGCGATACAGCCTACAAGCTACCCACTTACTGTACAATATAACCAGCACTTAAAGAATACTTCCATCATCCTCCAAGTAGTCACACATTAGAAGTGTCCATTCTAAATCCAAAACAAAACACTATCCCGCTTTAAAAGATAACCAACTATCACTGGCTACTGACTACAACCTGGGAATAATCTGATCTGATCTGATCAATCACATCCGCTCTCTACGATGTACATACTGTACACACGGGAATCATACCTGCCCAAGCAAAATAACCCATATATCAAAAGTAAGTAGTTAGACCCCTCCCACAGAGAAAGATGCAAAGATAGAGATTGAGATAGAGATAGACATTAACTACATATACAGGACTCGCCAAATATCCAGAACTTCTAGTCTCCAGCAGAGCTTTCAGCCTTAAGTCACTATACGCCGAGTATTGTATATACATATGTACAGTGCACAGGACTATTGAGATTGCGCAGATGCAATCTTGTTTGCCCAAGTGGCTTGCTTGCTTGCTTGCTTTCTTAGTTCCCCGGCGCTGGACTTTATGCGCACAAGTCAATCGGTGTTGGCATAACTCGATATATCACTTATCTCCCACTTTCTTTTTACTTTCTTGCGCATCCTTACTTCATTTTCGATGTATTTGTGTTTGGTACATAGGCACGTGGTTTGCGTGTCGGACAGGAAGAAGAAAAAAGTACAGTAGGTGCACAATGCAGAAGACCGATGATATCTTGTGTACAGAGTATAAATGTCATAAAACTATCTGCAAGGTTCACATTATGGGCAAATAGCCCATGAATCTACTCCTATCAGCATCAATATTGACGCCTACCCGATCACTGACAGATCGACACCAGACAAAAACAACCTTTTGTGGCTTCAATTGTCGCCCATACAAACAATAAACCAATTCTCGATCAACACATCCAAACAGGTTTATGTACACGCCCTACATGACATAGTCCGAAGCGGACGTTTAGGATGCAGCTCCGGTGCAATAATATTGCACAGGATGGGTGCATGTTACTGTTTGTACGTACACCTACAGCGATGGGCAGCTTTGATATCTAAACCAGGTAGGTAGGTAGGTAGGACCGTATGTACAGTGGGTAGGATGTGAATGTATATTAATGCATCGGGTTTGCGATCCTCAGTCGTTACCCCCGTATTCCCTGTACCCAAGCCGTCCGAATCTCAAGGCTTCCCTAGCTTTGCTTTACCTGCCGACCTACCTTGTGTACAGTACTCCGCTTCACCCCCGTACCCTGTGGTGGCTTACATATAGTCAAGTCGGTCCACGTAAAACAGGCGGGACGGTTGGAATTCTTCCTGCTGCTGCGTCTCAGCCTAGACCCGGATGCACCGTAGTGTACAGTAGTCAAAGAGAAGGTCTGCATTCGCCCTCTTGTGCAAAAGTACCGGTCCTACCTGACCATCCGAGCAACAGTCGGCTTTCATTTCGGTCTGGCTTGGACTCGCCTCCTCCGGCCTGATCATGACCTAACTTGACCTGATCCTGGCTGGATGGTGGAGCGTTTAGGGGAAAAGTTCAGTGTAAGGTGACACTCCGTATGCCCTTCTCCTCTTTCACATCGCCGATCCAATGCCGAGTACCCCGAGCTTACAGGAAAGCCACAGCATGATAAAGAAAGTCAGCCGATTCCAGCCGACCGTGCAGCCGCCACCGATGACTCGTCGGACAACGGGCACATTTGTCGAAAAGCGACGGTTCACCACAGCATTTGCCATATTGTCCCTCCGCTCCATGGACTCGATTTTGCGATGCCATGCAAGTCTTGATGTCAATGGACGACAGTGTGAGAGATCTTGAAACCCCTAGGAGCTAGTGGCTGCAGTCGCTTTTTAAGATCCAACCACGCTTGGCCTCTTTGTGTGACCAGACTCCGGGCGGAACTGCGCAATGAGATGGCGTGACGTACTTTTGATGGGTGACCAACCATTATCCGAACGGGAGGATAAACGAGGTTAGAAAAGTGAGAAAAAGAAACAGTTTCCCCCACACACACACATACACACAGAAGCATCAACGTCGCCTTTCTGTATCACTTCCCTGGGCGTAAAAAAATTCGGGACGCAGATAAACAAAGGTCTGCTTGTCTGCCTAGCGGTTGTGGACACGACCGTCAATCTCGATTGTCCATCCTGGACATATTGTAAACGGAGACGGCTGATCTGTGTTTGAAGACTGTAGGACGGTAAACGACTCATTATCCGCCGTTGTCAGCGTACCATGGAATCGGTGATACCGAAGTGCATGCGTTTTCGTTGTTGTGCTGATGGTTGAAAGACCGAAAGATTAGATCAAGGACATCGTGATCCCGGGCAATGCATATGCTTTGTTTTTGTTTTGCTGTCTCTTCTTCGTTCCCTTGTGCGACTGCTTGGCCCGTCCAAGAATTCGACCTATATACTATGTATAGGCTGGAATGGAGACGAGGCTGATGATCTTTCACGGGAAGGGTTCTTGCTTCCTTTGTGTTGCACATACTGTACATGAAGAAAGATAAATATGTGGCTTGCAGGTAGGGTAGGCGATCTCTAGGTATGATTTCAGCCAGAACCGGATGGCCTGTTTTCGGTTAGTTTTTCGTTTGCTAAAGACGCCAAATTAACAATGATTGATCATCAAATCGAGTTATTGGCATCGGGCAGATGGTTGGCCAGAAGAAGGTGGTCACCGTTGGACGGTAGATAGGTAGTATTGGAAAGCAGGAAGATGCAGGAAAAATAGGATTTCAATGATGAATGAAGCGCTCAATAGCCCCAACATTATATTGTCTCCAATATCCATGGTTGGATATGCATGATAGATGCTACACAACCGCCCAAAAAAGGTATTTGTAATGGGCGCGGCAGCATCTATCACAAGGCAAGTCATTCTGCAATAGCAGGGCCGCCACCAAGCCTCGGGCGTGGCAGAGACCAAAGTACGAAGGGGTCGATACGAAAGCGTCAAAGAGCACGATGAAGAAGAAGCAAAGAAAAGAAAGCCAGGTAGATGGATCATGGATGATTGAGGACCGCTTTGGGACAACTTCCCTCGACCGTCCGCGCTAATCCCAATCAGGCTATATTGAAATCTTCCCCCGCGCGTCTTCGTCTCTTGGTCGCGGGGCTTGACACTGAGAGAAAACATTAATGGAGACAGGCACACAGACCCTGGTGACTGGTCTTGGGAGAAGCTGCAGAGTAAAGTTCCGGATTTGCTGGCGTTGGCCTGCTGTCTTGAACCCAAATGGCTCGAGGACGACGGCTTGCTAGGGGTCTACGCGCCGCCAAATCACACCAGGGAGGGTTTATGAGACAGGCCCTGCAAACTACAAGCATTCATGCGTGTGACTGGAAAATGTGATCTCGTTTCTGGTTCCTAACAGAATGTGGCGAAGGTACAGGGCTTAAGGAGAGCGAGAGCATGATAGTCGTGGTGTTGATAATGATGATGACAAGATGCATACGACTCGAAGCTACTTGGCGGTTGCTGGCCTCGTCTGAAGTTCCTTAACATCTCGAGGCTATTGCAGGATTTTCTTTCCTTCTGTTTCTCAACTTGCTTTTAAGGAATACCGACCAGGGAAGACAAGTACTGGATATAGTCCCGAGTAGCTTCGCTTGGATCCCTGGCCCGGCATGATTAGGGGGGTTTTAGTAATTAGCAATAGTTCCTGATTCCACCATCCCCCCTTTAACCAGGTGAGGAGGTCAAGAGGTCAGGTTCACCAGGGAGGGGATCGGATCGCAGCCTCTTGCGATTTAGAATGGCAATTCCGGTAGAATTCCGGCCATATTAGATTTGGCGCTGAATGAGAGGAGAGGAGACAGACTAGAACAGCGCGAAGAAAAAAAAAAAAAAAAAAAGTAAACATGACCTAAACGCCCGCATCGTTTATGATAAATTATTCGTTGAATGACGAACCCACTCTCGCTCGCTTCGCTGTACCTTGAGAATATTAAATCGTAACCGTAATTGCCAGCCGGAGATGAACGCCGCAGGAGGGAGGAGAGATTGCTATCTTTTTGAGGCCCCCCGACGCCGCCCGTCCATTGTCATCACCGACATATCCACAATCCATTTCTTCCCCCTTGGACGGAGCTGACCACCCCCTCTTTTTTCCATAGCCCGTTGGCTTGTCTCCATGGGTCGGCAGGTCGGTGTCCACGATTAGGAAAAAGAAAATGAGTCGGTGATCCTGCTTAGGGGGGGGCACATCAAGGCATCTCCATTCTCCAAGTCTGTGGCGGAAACGACCGGGCTCCGTGGACTTCTGCCCCCATGCCCTGTCCACAATTCGGGACGAAATCTAGATTGTCGTCCGAAGTGGCGGTGATAGACATTATTAGACCTTATTGAGGGGAAGGAGCGAGCGCAA